TTATGTTTGTGTTTTCTTTTCTCTTGGTGTGGTGCGGCCGCGGCCGATCTTTTTTTTTTTTTTTTTTTTTTTTTTTGGGGGGGGGGGGGGCGGGCCCCAGATTGTATTATGGTGATGGTGTTGGTTGAACCTGTTAAAATTCTGTTTGAAAAAGCACAGGTATATTGGAGTTTATAAATGACTCAGTTTATTATGTGTGGTCAATTAGTGATGACTGAGTCATGTTGGTTGATGATCTATCTCATCATGGTTTTGAGTGGTCCTGAGACTTCTGAACTATTTTGTCTGCGTTCAAAAAAAAAAAAAAAAAAAAAAAAAAAAAAAAATACAATGGTCAGGAACATGTGTTGTCATACTGAGGTAAGGAAGAAATCTATTGGCTTGGGGCCTGGAGGCGAGATGAGTCTATAAGGCAGGGTGAAAACATTGGAGTTTACACCATGACAATGTATGCATTCCGAGGGGGTATTGTTATTTCAACACCAGTTTTTCCTACTGGATTTGATACTTGGAAAATAATACTGAGAACAGAAAAAAAGAAGAAGAAAAAAAAGGAACTCATCCTAATGCTTCCTTGGAGAGTAAATAGTAAATGATTGAAGTCTGGTAATCTTATCGTGTATTAGAATTATTTGGGAATCTGGAATCTTGATCAAACCAGGAATACAAAACAGAGTTGAAAACTTGAGATTATGAAAATTGCTATTCTTTTATAGGTTGGTTGGTAAAAACTGGCAAGAATCTGAGATCAAAACCGTCTGGAGTTTCAGGATCGAGCAGGTATTGAAAGTGTTCGAACAAAACTGCTGTAAATAATATATGTGCTTTTATTGATGTTCGATACGGATATGCTGCTGACTTTATGTCAGTTTCTTTCAGCCAGTATCTACATCCTCAACCCCTTCTCAGATGATCGTGTCTACCTATTGCAGTCTTGCAAAGCTGCTTGTCAATGTAAAAGATTCCCCATATATATCTTGTTCTGGAGTTGAGATGGCTGCATAATTCCGGGACGCATTATAATATTATCCCAGAGTTTGGGAAATGAATTTTCTACAGATTCGTTACTCGAAAGTAACCTGAGACTTAAGGAGACTAAAGAATGAAACATGGGACTCAATTAATTTCAAAAAAATGTCTCTTAATGTTCCGATATGAATATGAATGAAGCAGGCATGGGCTGTTTGAAATACGAGATGGAGGAGACATTAGTTAAAAGTCAACCGAGTAAGACTGAGACAGAGAAAACTAACAAAGGCTTCTGCTGCTATACTAGCTATGTCCTTCGGCTGCCCTAGAGCTATATATATATATATAAACTCCTAAGCTCAATGTAGACGTTTTTATCAATTAATAACTTCAAGGTCGTAAGGTTTCGAGTTCGGGTTAGGTATAATGCAATCAAAATTTATTGACATAATTTATGAGTAGCCTGAACACCGGCGCTGGACATGCTTTCAGTCCAGCAAGACCACTCACTGAACATTTCCCATTTTAGAGTATATCTGAAACGCGGGGATACATTTTTGTGACGAAAGATAGATAGCTATGAGAAAGTGCCTAGTTTTTGCTACCCCTTTTCATCTACTACGCCTCACCCTTTTGGGATTTTACGTACATAATTTCGGTCAAGATTTTGGCAGGATGTGATACCCTTTCTTTTTTTTTCTTTTTTTTTTTCCCCAATAAAAAGAAAACGAAATCTGGTTTCTAGTCATGCACCAACAAGCTCATAACAACATATAATTCTCTTACGCTTCATTTCTGGACCTATTGAGGCATTTTTGTACAGAGTTCAAAACTAGATATGAGGGAAAGATAGGGCAGCTAGCCAGCCAGTGAAAGAAACAAAACAATAGCGAAAAAAAGGGGAAAAAAGGAAAAAGGGAAAAAGGAAAGAGAAAACGGAAAAGACGTCTTCCTCCAACTTCTGAAACTCCAATCAGCCAGGAAACCGTGATATACCAAGCGAGTCGGGTACTAAATAACGTCAACTCAAAAACATGTAAATGAAGCAGATTGAAGAAAAGAATACTTGATTATCATCAGGTCAAGGACTCAAGGCAAAGCGTCTATTATATCCTTTACACTACACTACACTATTTCCTCGGTTTCCTCACTTTTGGTCTCAGCCACCAAGTATAGTAATAGTAACAGTATAGGATCCTTCCTGTATTCAAAAACACTTAAACCAAACCAAGTGTGCAAGGATCAAGATATAATAATTATCACAACAACAACAACAACACCTAGAAACTACCTGATAAAAGCAGCGACAACTTCAAAACAAACCGTTCATCTATATAGTATAATCTAAAGCTTCATCAGTGGTCAGCGTGTTGAACATTTTCGGGTCACCTTGCAAAGTGCTTCAGCTTCTTGAGACCGTCCAAGACGGAGAGACCAGACCCAAACATGTGATCGAGGCAATACGTCATAATATCCACCGTCTCACTGGAGCTGTTTTGTTGACTGCAGGTACCGTGTTTAATGCACAAGATACCTCCTAGATACAAACGTGGGAATGGGATAAAATGCAGGTATCGGGACTGATGGTTTGATGTCTGGAATCAACCCCAAAATATTTGCAGACCAACCACTTCTCATCTCACCAACTGCAAGACCACCCAGTGTTCACGTGTTCGACCAGCAAAGATCCATATTATTGTCGTTTCATTCAGCGTAAAGGCAGGATGGCATTGGCATTTGGTTTCTTTCAAGAGATGAGGTATTGGCACTGTGGCGTTTCCTGTACATCTCACGAATAGAAACCTGCCCTGCCAAAAACCGGGTATTTTTTGTGTGCTTTCTTCATCCCATGCAAACCTCAAGTCTCCATTGGTTGATCTCATTTATTTTTATGAGTGCCCATTTTGGGACGCACAGTGTGTGTCAGACAACCAAATATTGCCGAGTCCCACCAGCCACGCACATGAATTGATGCCCTGAACCACCGCGCCAATCTAGAGTGAAATCGCATAAAAGGTCAAAGAGGTTGTGCTGTGTGCCACTAAACTTAGTAGCCGAAGGCGGCGAGAGCCTCGGTGGTCTTGGAGTCGACCTTGGCGGTCTTCTTCGCCTCGGTGAGCTGTCTGGCAATGACCTTCTTGCGCTCGTAGTAGGCAGCACCCTTCGCCTTGCGTCTCTCCTCGAGTCTGTCAAAACGTTAGCAACCGCACGAAGCGCCAGCCGCCCACAAAGAGCGGTTGAGCATATCTGGAAACTCATGACCCACCTGGAAACAACATCCTGGTACTTCCAGCCAACCTCGTGGCTCAACCGGCCAACGGTGCAGTACTTGCGGCCGGGCTGGAGTCTGAGAACGCGGAGGGCCTGGGGAACGACCATCTTCTTCTTCTTGTCGTAGGGAGCGGGGACACCCTCGAAGACCTTGAGGCGCTCAAGGGCAGCGGCACCGCGGGCGGTCTTGTGGGGGATCATGCCACGGACGGCCTTGTAGAAGATGCGGCTGGGGGCGCGGAAGTGGAAGGGACCTGGGGACAAACAGTCAGAATTGCTGAACGAGAGTATCGCCGGATCGTTGGATGTTCGACTCACCACCGCGGGTAGGGTTGTACCGGGTCATCTTGCGAAGGTATGCATGGTACTTGACTGCACTCGAATGTCAGCCAGCTTGTTCGGTTATCCCATCTCAGCACATTTCTCCAGCAATGACAGTCTCCGAAGCCCCAGCATAATCCCACTCCGAGCTCGGGGTTCGGGAGACCGCATTGCAACCAAATTTCCGTGCCATATCGATCAAGAGGAACTTTTGGTGTGAACGTACGCTTCGCGCGGAAGAACTCGCCGGAGATGTTGAGGGCCTCGCAGCGGACAACGACAACCTGCTGGCCGTTGAGGAGCTGCTTGGCAACAATGCTGGCCAGACGACCGAGCAGATGGCCCTTGCCATCAACCACGACCTGTGTGCGATCACAAGGTTAGCCACGATTGCTCCTCAATCCACCACCGTTTCCCATTTTCATCATGAACAATCTCGATCTCGCTGTCGTCGGTCGTTTTGCTCTGTTTTTTCGCGTGGCGATCGTCGTAGACGTGTCGGGAGTGGGCGGGTTGGCGATGCTCGGATTGTTTTAAAGGCGGGTACGGGGGCATTGAAGAGAGTGCACACATACCACAGACTCGAAGGAAGACATCTTGCCGCGATGACTGGGGGAAAAAGAAGGAAAAACTAAAGAATAGATTGATCAGTCAAACTCCGTGGCAGCGAGGTCTGGCTGGCTGCTTCCTTACCCT